CAGTTATTCAAGTTTTATTCAAAATTAGTTTGCATAACTTCAGCACTTCAACTTTACTTCACAGTAAACAAATGCGTGTGCAAAAAATAAGTAAACCTGAGCCGATTTTCCCCTCGTGGGAGAATCTGCTAGCCTGCAAGCCAGACAAAAACTAGGAGGATAACGCTGCGAGCGGCTGCGGCCCAAACAGAACCAGAACCGCTCACGGCGCAAACAGCTCGCCGGCTGTTTCCCTATTAACACACGTCCGTTTTAATTTCCACACTTTTTTTCTCACACTAACAAGGATTGCCAAAAGCATGTTTGCTGTGGTTTTGTCAAATTATACTGATCACAAAACATTTATTTACTTTCTTTCGTTTTCCTCCGCCACTCATAAATACCCGTGTCCTCCTGCAGAAACCCCGAGGGACAACAGACATCAATAACACAATAAAAAGTCCGACGTGTTGTGTAAAAACTGCTATTTTTAGCACATTTTAAGCCCGACGTGTTGCTACCAGACGTACGGTGTGAGCTGAAACTGACTGCTACAAATGAAAAAGTCGCACAGTGTCCGCAGAATATATAGAAAAACAGGCTAAAAAGCATTATCTTGTAGAGGCTCCGAGTCCGCTTGCAGAAGTGACATTTACAGGTGCTGCAGCACGGAGGATGTGGTGTTGTGCTAGGCTAAATCCATTTTTACAGTATTTATACTGGACTACGTTTTCCGCCTAACGACGTGAAAAATGGTTCCACAACTTGACATTTTCTGTCTTTTTCGCACTCCACCGGGGTCCACGTTGTCCGCCATGGCTTAAGAGAAAGTTAAGTTACATTCGCCACTAGTCCAGTGGGCATGTGCGTCACTTATTTCGGTCCGGGTGAAACATGACCCCGGGCGATTGCAAAGCCATGAATTAATTAAATATGAATTAAACGAATCCTCGAGGCAGAGAATTTGACTCGAGGATTTTTTGTACTCGAATTATTCGAGGTACTCGAGGAATCGTTTCAGCTCTAATGGAAACCCATTGTCCAATATTTATATGTCGATGGTTTCCACACATACTTGAAAAGTATTTGACCGTATTACTTTCAAAGCTACTGTTAGGTAACTAAAGATTTGTTCTATTTTACAAGGTAAGCAAAAATAAATTTTGCTTTTTGAGCAAAAGATTGCTTCTGTTTGGTGTTAGAATCACTTTATTTTACCTTGTAAATTTGCATTTTTGATCATGACTAGTTTAAAGTCAAATAAAAATTTCCCATAGCTTTAACTAACTTTTACAACTAAGTTGTTAATATTGACTGTGAATCAATTTAAATCGAGAATTGATTCGGCACCCCGAGAATCAGAATCGAATCAAATCATGAGTTTCTCTAAAGCCCTTTTCAGATAGACATTCTGGAACATTTGTGGACAACTGAATCCGGTTTTTAACCGGAACTGTGTTTTCTTACACACCACTTTTGTACCGGAACTTGTCCTTTCGGCTGCGTTCACACAGCAGGGAAAAGTTCCAGATATCGGACGGCGGCGGGGGGGGGGGGGGGGGGGGGGGGGGAGAATTGGACTCATGTTAAGAAGAAGAAGAAGAAGAAAATATCACTTCTATAGCGCCTCTCAAGATCAAAATCACGAGGCGCTTAAGCATAATTCTGCGCACACGAAGACGCATAAGAGACCTGGATGATGAAGCTCAATGGCTAAAGGAATCACTGAAGCGGTGTGAAGCGCTCCGTCGCACGTCTAGGCGGTACCGTAGGAGGCGAGCTGCCGTGGTTCGCCGCATTCTACAGCAGCGGGCTATCTAGGTGCGCACAGCGTCCCCCGGTCCCCTCCTCCTCCCCCTCCCCCTTGTCCGGAACTTTACCTCACCAGTCTGAATCAGCCACCCTGTCCGTAACAAGTCCGGACTTGTTACTATGGGCTTCGTCCGGATAAATTCCGGAACACGTTATCCGGATGTTTGTATTCAAAGGTCTTCCGGACAGAGTCCGGAACATTTCCGTTTTTCATGGCCTGTCTGAAGGGGGCTTAAGATTCACATCCCTAAAACCTAAAATAGTGTTCCCCCCCGTTCAAAAATAAGAACGTTCTTGGTATCAAAATGCTTCTTAAAAATTCACAGACATCATATGTGAAATCCATGGTAGGGCTGGGCAATAAATCGAAAATGTATCGTTTTCGAAATTCGTGACTCTTATCATGATAACTTTTCCCATGTCAATAAATCTGATAGCAAAAAAATGAAAATATGTGTGTAAGTTGGCAACGTTCATGTCCGTTTAAGAAGCTGTACCACCTTGTCACGTAAAAATGTGACTTAATGTAATACATGTGACAGCCCCATCTAGTGGACAACTTTTGTTTCTGCGCCTACCTGTAGTTATCGTCCATCTATCGTTATTGAGGTAAAATCCTCAATATATCGTGACGTTGATTTTAGGCCATATCGCCCAGCCCTAATCCATGGCGTCGTTTTCTTCGTTCTTCCGGGGACCGATGGTCCAGAAGTAGATGGGCGTGATTTAGGTTCCAGCTACTCCAAGCACCACCCCCCCCCCCCCCCCCCCCCGGATATCTGAGCTCCTCACTTCATAGCAGCCAATCGGGGAGTAGGTGGGCATGGCCCGCAACTGCTTGTTTTCTTAAAAGAGACAGAGCCCTGAAATAGCTCATCCTGGAAGGTACTGAAAATGTTAAGAATAAAACTGCTGAGATTACTTTATGTGAGAGGGGTTTAGAGAGTATAATATCAAGAACATGTTATGTTATCGACCATAGAACTATTATGGCCTATTAAGGGTTGTGAAAGCAGAAAGGGGCAGGATCTCTCACAACAGTTTTTACATTTTTAAAACAACATGAGATTGTTTTTAATGCTGTCACTGTTTTATTACTGTAATCAAGCCACAGCCCTTTAACAAAAGACTTTGGAACGAGATGGTTAGCAGGCGAAGGCTAGAGGGATCTGATGTTAGATCAGCCACAGACAGCAGATCCAATCAGTTTGCCCAGGCTGACAACCTGTCATGCGCTGGCCAGTGAGGTATAAATAAACAGTAAGTGCTCCCAGGCCTACAAGGCATAGCCACAAAGAGAGCTGTAAGCTGAGGTACAAGCTTAAGAACAGATTAGCTAAAGCCTCTATTAGCGAGGGGTTCCAGATTCAGGGGCTGTTTACTTAAAAGCTAGTCGCACTGGGAGGAGAGACCTGTGTGAACAAAACAGGCTACACAAAAGCACAAAAATAGAATAAAGTGCATCATGAGCAAGGAGTTACCAGACCATAAAAAAGACATGCAATAATCATTCTGGCCAACTTTGCAAGCTTTTCCAGAAGGCTGGAAGTCATTTCCCAAGATGGACCAGAATAACGGGTCTCAAAGCCAAAGAAGCGGACACAAGAAAGGCCCTGCTGCTTCCCACCGACACTATTAATAACAAACACTCTGGGCTGATTTACATGTAGAACAAATGCTGGACCACACACAAATGACCTTTGGTGAACTGGTAAACAGCACTGGTCACAAACCAGTCTGTGCAAAGAAAATAAAAGGGAGAAATGTGTGGGTGGTGGTGCGAAGCCACACCCCCACTACTGAAGAGGGGGACTTTGGTAAAAATAATAAGCTAATGATACAATAACAAACTACCGCCGTGTTGAGAATGACTTCCTATTAGCCTGGCCAACCTAATTAGCATTAATGTTTGATGAACTCTTCAGAAGTGCAGCCACACCCACAGTCTGGCATGACAACAAACCACGCAATAAACAAAGACGAGCACATCCACTGAGAATAATGTTTATTCCACTGTGATATGAGGCAGCATCTACAGTGTGTTCACGGTTTCACAAATCACCATAATGGGAGAGGCTTGAATTACAAAGATGTGGCTGAGTGGAGATGAATGGAGCTGGACTGTGGATGGATGATTCACCAAGTCCACTTCAGATTGTCCAATAACCAATGCAACATATCATTAGCCTGAACACCCAGACCTGGGCTTAGTCAGCCAGCTGTTGGTCATACATACATACATACATACAGGTCTACTCTGGTCAGATGCGTGGTTACATGGTCTAAAATGTGGTTAGATTCCAAACAGAACATCTCAACCCCCCAAAAAACTAAAACAAAATTAAACCAGACACCTATGAATGGCATAAACAAATAGGGACAGCAGTGACAGAGGCGTTACGGGCCCGTCTCTTAACCGGAAGGTAGAGATCCAGTCCCACTCAGTCTGTTGCAGACATTGTGTCTTTGGTCAAGGCACTTAACCTCCGTACGACACCTCCATCAGCGGCCCCAGGGCAGCTATGGCTACAAAGTAGCTCATCACCACCAGTGTGTGAATCACTGTGCTGTAAAGTGCCTTGGGGGGTTGTATACCTTAGAAGGCATGTCCTTTAGCATTTACCAGATCATACTCCAAGAGGAAGACAGCAGCTGTGTGTGGACCAGCCCTAAGGGCGTGTGACCCGTTACAGGCCACACTGGGACTGGCTGTGTTGGGAACATCACTGGTAAGGTTCTTTCCACAAGTAACTCTCCCCCTCTCCAGCTCTAATGCAAAACTCCAGTCCTCTGGCAGGACACCCTCCCTGTGTCCTTGGTGACAGATGTGGACTGCACTGGCATTAAGCTGCTGTACTGGGGCACCAGTGACTCCTCAGACTCTCCTGACCTTTCAGGAAGCCAGCTGTAGCTCAGATGTTGGTTCTTTTAGATCGGAGCTGGTGTCGCTTGTTGTTGGGGTGTTGAACGCAGGCGGGGTGTACTCCTGCAGCTCAACAGTAAACTTTTGAAACCTCCAGTCCATAATGGTCATACCAGAGTCTAAACGTGTCTGGTTCCGGACTACCCCACAGCCCTGGTGATAAAGGTCTTGACTCCAGGATGAAGCCACAGCTCGCTCTAGAAACGACCTTCTGGCTCTTAACCCGCTAACGTCTTTGCGCCAGTCCCGCTGAGGATGAGCGCAGTGGCTCAGCCACTTGACTCACCTTTAATCAGCCGCTCCGTGGTGGACTGTTTCTCCTTGTCTTTGTCTTTTCCTGACATCTTGTCTCGTTGGACACACCGCAGGCTGTAGCTCAGACCTGTCCCTGTCCCCTGTCCAGACTCCGGGACAAAGTCACAGCTCTTTAGTCGTTACGCTTTCAAACCATGAAAAATCAAACATCCACTTTCGCCACAGACCGACGAGCTGATAAAAAAAACTAGCCAACACCAACATTAACAGCGCGTGCAGCCTGTCGTGACTCCCACCGCGTCCGAACAACAACACGCACCCGTTCGCTAATTAGTTCCTAAATCTATGACCCGGAGGGAGGCTGCCGTTAGCGGCTAATCGGCTTTAGTTACTCTTTTCCAGCTAGTTAGCCAGCTAACATCTTAAAGTGTCCGAGAGCCGGAGGAGCAGAACCAGAACCGAAGGACTTGGGTTTCATCTTGGAGCCGCCGGCCGCACGTAAAGGGGGGTGACAGCAGGAGCTGCAGGAACCCGTTCTCTGTGGAGGTCCTGCGAGTGCCTCCTCCTCCTCCTTGGATTAAACTCTAATCTGACAGCAAGTGAGAGGGAGCCAGCGGCGGGTTGCCTTCGAGATGGTGGAGGCGATGTGACGTAACTATGGAAACGTGTCACGTGGTTTGGGGAGCGCGTTCAACAGTACTTCTGGTTGGAAAATATGATGGGTTAATTATCCATCATTTTGTTCAATATGGGATTTCACATCACCTATATATAAATATACATCTTAACTCACCTGATGTAGCATCACAAAGGTCATGTGAGCATTTGAAAACCCGCTGTTTGGATAATAGACAGAAGCAGCGGATGTTGGGCCCATCGACATATATGTTAGGCCACTGGGGGGCGCTCGCGCGCCATTTTTAAGATGTTTAGTCAATTAGTGATGGGAATTGCAGCTCTTTTTAGAGAGCCGGTTCTTTTGGCTCAGCTCACCAAAAAGAGTCGGCTCTTTAGGCTCCCAAGTGGCTCCTCAGATTTTCTGTTGCGTAGAGTACATTTATGACCAAAAAATCCTAAACATATGTAAAATAATTTACTAATGTAAAAAATAAAAGCAATATATCAAATATTTATCATTTCTATGGATTTAATAACTGAACACTTTAAGAAATCTCCACTTTCCGACTGCTGGCGCTCATTTTCTCACCGTCTTTGTCGCACTTTCCTCTCTCTCGCTCGCCTTTTTCCTCCTCATTCCCTCTCGTCTCCCTCCACCCGCATGTGCTCTGCTGTGTGTCTGTCTGAGTCTGATCCTCCCTCTTCCCCGCCCCTACTGCTCTGTGTGTGGACAGTCTGGACACACAGTTACACATGTTGATCAATCGCCTGTAGCTTTCACCAACGCAGGGGGGGAGGGGACGGCTCCCAATGATGAGCCGGCTCCCGTCGTTCACTTCAAAGAGCCGGCTCTTAGAGCCCGTTCGTTTGCGACCGACACATCACTATAGTAAATGGAGCCATCTGTTTTGGGTCAAAACCAAATGATAAATCGAGGTTCAAGACTTCCCAGCAGGACGTGCTACTTTACATGAAGACCCAGTTCTTTGGAATATAACCACACCCTCTACTGGTTCAGCTGTACACTCACATACAGGTGAACCTGGAAAAACGCGAATCTGGTGCAAAAGCCCACTCATGTCAGTAATCCAGCTCAGACTGAGAGACCATCTAAAGGCTCAGGAACCCGCTGCAGGTGTTCTGGAATCATCAGCTGATCAAAGTGACACTTTCAGTCTAGAATATTGAACAAAACTTTGATTTTCTGAAATTTTGAATGTTCGGGTTAGGTTTAGCCTTCGACTCTACACAGACTCCACACACGCAGAAGGGCTAACAGTCCGATAAACTTTTTAAGAGGCTGATTAACACCGCCCTTTGCATTGTTTGAAATGAACACATGTGACATTCATATTCACCCGTTATGCATCAGAATTGTTTTATACGTCTGATTGGTGCCCTCCTAGCGACTTGGTGGCCTATAGTGCCTGATATGGGTGGAGCTGCAGATAATACACCACCTCTCAGCCATTCAATTACATTTAAACATTAAGAAATAAAAAGCTGCTCAATTTACAGACAACCAAGTAACTAAAGACTCTCTCAGAGAGCAAGAATACCAACATTTCTTACATTTGGAGCCTAAAACTAAGCCAATCACACAAATGTTTACTCCTACAGCCAATCCCTGAACTGTAAAACACTCACATGCTGTAAAACCTAAATAAGAGTGCATTATAATCACTGTTTATTTCCACAGGGATTCACTGCATCCCCGTTTTGCTCCGATGACTCCAACTGTCCTACAACTCCACTCTCAGTCTCAATAACCCCCTCCTGTAAAACAGACACGTAAAACCACGTCCATGTAAAGCAACTGGATAAAAACAAAAAAACTAAACTTTTATTGAACTTGAAAATAGCATTAATTCCATTTAAACATTCTTTAAATGAAAATAACAAACAATACACTGAAATAATCACCAACCACATAGAAAAACATGGATGCAGAAGTTTGTTTAAAAAGAAAAACGCAGCAAGTGTTAATGAGAAATCTTCTAAGTGAACACAAAGAAAAGGCCATTCAGAAACACTACATGTATGACGCTGGATATGCTGTTCCACAGGAGAGACTAATGTTTGGTCCTTTTGTCAGGGGAATTGTTACGGACAGAAAAGCAAATCATTTCAGAGCCCTGTTACTTTACTAATGCAGCAAAAACAAAAGCATCACATGCTGATGTCTGGGGTCCCCTCCGGCCATAGAAGACTCAGCATGTAGCTTAGGGACGTTCCCCGTCCCTCTGGGGATTCCCTCTGTTACCGGAGGAGCTTCAGACTTCAACTCACTAGAACATAATTAAATAGAGGAGAGAAAACACCAACATAAGAAATGGAGGTGGAGAACGTTCTGACAATTGGAGATCGGCAGAACTTGATCAACGCCATTTTAAATTGTAGGCACTCATGGCTCTTCAATAGTGCACAGCGACAGGAGTGGTGGAATGGTCCCACCACAATAAAAGTCTTCCTCTCAAAGCCAGCTCAGAGACTCCTGGCTTGATGTGTACACGTTTTCTGACATCACGGACACGTCGGGTCCAATGGGACACCATTGTACTAAACGCTTCACTTAGACTTGAACACAAATGAACAGAGGTGTGGGAGGTCTTTGGCGCTCGCTGTGACAAACAAACAGCATGTATGAAAACCAACATGGCATCAAAAGTCCAGACTGAGTGAACAGACAACAGGAGGAGCCCAAAGAGAACAACACACCTGGAGCGTACTGATGGCTATACACAAATCCTTCATTTCTTCCAACAGTTCCGTTACAGACCGTCCCGTCTCCGGTCAGGACCTTCTCCGTCTAGACCAGAGCCTGGACTCTGGACACGTCCACATACCGCAGACAGCCCTCCAGTTTACCGGTTAGTCTACCCTAGAAGTTATTATCTTAACCCTATTGAAGCTAACTCAGTTTATAACGATGACACTTATGTTTCTCAGTACCTTGTGAATTTTATTTTGTTTTTAAGTCACAGCATGTACGCAGATTCTGGGGAATTGTTTTCCTGGAAAGTCATTTGGGTCTCTCCTTGCTTGCATATTAATGACCTGAAAACTAGCAGGTTGTGGATGACCTTGATGTTCAGATCCCTGTCCGAGAAGCTTTTAGAGCTGCATGAATGCATACGAGGGCACACCCGGGGGAGGAGACGGACCATCAAAGTGTTGGTAAACGACAAGCCCCGGCTCAGAGACCCCCTCCGTCTGCTAACGGGACGCAGCCAGACTCAGGGTCTTGTCAATCATACTTATTTATTTTGTTGGGAGTGCTGTCAGAAGGGAGTGGCAAGTACGAATCCCCGGAGGTTACTGGAGATCTGCCTGACCTAAATGTGACCAGACCAGCTGATGTGGGTCTGCTCCTTGTGCTGAGACTGGTCGCAATCCAAGAAGGCAGGTGACAGAAAAAGGGTTCTCAGATGAATTCCAGTAGTGAAAAGTCTTTGATAAAGACCAACGATTTGAGATTTGATCCTGTCTTTGAAAATATAGTAATTATTGAATAATGAAACCAGGTTGAGGGGCCAAGCAAGGTGAGGGCCTCTCAGGCAAAGCAGGAGGATACTGAGAGAGGTAGTGGCTGGGATATCCAGAGGAGACGGGGGGGAAGGGCTGCCCCGTTCTGGGAGGAACTGGTGGGTATGGTGATGCTGAGTAGACAACAGGAGGCGGGGGGGCAGCAGTTGGAGTCAGAACAGGAGCCGGCTGAGATGGAGGAGGAGGTGGCTTCCTTCTGGGTTGGACCATGGGAGAGGTGTCGCTGCCATCGGTGAGCAGGGAGGCCACTGCTGGAACGTCCTGAGAACGGGAGGAAGGGACCGACACCTGGGGGAGCCGCTGGCCCGTCAGCACCATTTCCTGTAGCTTCTCAATCTTCACACGTCTCAAGTGGGCCAGCTTCCTCTGGCTCTGGTAGGCATCAATGAAGGAATCCAGGGTCATGTCACCATCCAGGAAAGAGTCGGCCATGTTCTGTTGAGAGAAGTCAAACGGGTTTTAGAGCGAGGAGATGAGGTACTGCTGACAGCTGAGAAACAAGGTGAGTCAAGAAACTGGAAACAGCAAAGAGGGCAAAGCCACCAAGCTACCCAACAAACGCCATTTCAAAACCATCACCCTTCAGACTTGTCGTAGCTTTAAACCGGACAAGCAGCATAGCTGTAGCTGTTTTATGGTTATGTGTGTATTGTGTGGTGTGATGTCACCAGCATGCCATTCACACAATAGAGGGGCAATAGAAACATGACTCAGAGATTTAAGGTGGTTTACCAGGGCTTCTGGGCCATTTTAAGCCCCGACTATGTTTCATAAGCGGTGTAGAAAAGTGTCTATTCTACAACCCATTTCAAATCCCTCAGAAGCTGATGACCTACTTGTGAGTGGCTCACAGACTGTTTCACATTCAAACAAATTAGTATGGCTTTGAAACGGTGTCAACTAGGGCTGCACGATATTAGGAAAACCTGCGATATTCGATAACAGTGCTTAATACTGCGATATCGATATTAATCGCGATAAATGAACAAATACTAAAAGTATGCAGTGCTGATGTCGTCTGGCGTGTGACTGCTACTGTATTAGCAGCTGCACCTGCTACTGTATTAGCAGCAAAACAACAAACTGCATGCATGCAGTTTCTCAGTGACTTTAAAACATCACCTCCACCATAAAACTTTTTCTGATGCTCCAAATACAGAAAAACATCCCTTACCAGGGTTTTTGAATAAATAAAAAAATCTGAAAATAAGTTTAAATGTTAAATAATAGTTAACATCACTTAAATGCAACAGCAAATTCTCTCATTGCTACTGAACATTTTCTCCACTTATGTGGTTATGATATAAGGCTGTTGCTGTAATTGGGAAGTGAACTGTGCTGGGCCAAACTAGGAGATTATTAAGATTTTCTGAGGGAAAGAGAAAAACTATTGTCCACCTTTCAGAAGAGGAACCGGCAAAAAAACTACATGGAAAATATGTGAAAACGTTTGTTTTTAACCCCAAATTGAACAAGTTTACCTAGATCTTAAAAAGCAGCTCAGATGATGAAACTGCAACTATGATTCTGATAACAAGCTAACAAATTGAACTAGCTCCTCTAAGATAACCGGCTAGCAGAGCTTCTGACTGACAGTTTATGTGCAGCAGCAAATCAACTATCCTGGTTAACAAGGTTATAAAAGCTCGTAAATGAAAAATCACTTAGATGTGTGGGGGAACTTTTCCAGGCCCTCTTTAGCAGGGTGGGACTGGGAGGAGAGTGCTGTAGCCTTTTAGCTGGAAGCTAACCGGAGCCTGGGGCTAACACTAACGACATGAAGGTGGGTTGGTTCACCGGCACGTGTCGGAGTCAGCCCGGTAAAAATGATTAACGACACCGAGCGGACTCACGTTCACGTTTGAAAGCAGCACTGATTCCAGAAACATCAGCACAAAGTGCGTTCGCTGCTCTGAGCCAGCAGGACGAACAAGGGAACGGCGCCGCTAACTCAGTTCGGGTGTTGCTTTCCAAAAGGGTCTATGTAGGGGGCGGGCGTATTTCGTGAACGGAACCATCTGATTGGCCGCATATCAGAAGGACTACATTTGATTGGTCAAATAATACTTCCGTGTAAAAAACAGAGCTGGTTTACAAAAAGCTGATGTATGACACGGATGGAAATGTTTGAACCAAACATTTATCGCTGTTTTTGCCGTGTTTTGCGATGGGCCTATCACACGTCCTTTTATCCCGATGACGATAATTTTTCAATATATTGTGCAACACAAGTTTCTAGTCAGCAGGTTGAGACTTGGGCTAACGGTTAGCTTCTGCTAGCTGAGATGTTCTCTGCTGTTTCCTGGACGATAAACCAACAACAGCCTTCCCTGTTGTGAGTCCAGATGGGTGAGTCCATGAATGTTAGTGACAGTGTGACGTAGATCTGCCAGGCTTTCCTAATCCTAGAGATTCGCCGTCTATGTTCTGTCAGAAGCTAATGCAGGAGATAGGTGTAGGAGACTATTCTCACGTTCAACCTGCATGAAAACTCAGAACGACTGATTATAACCAGAAATCTGTTTCAGTGTTCCACACCTTTAATTATATTGGCCTACTAGCCTGCTTGAGTTTCTGTAAAAGACAAAAGGTTTAACTGTTGACAGCTGGTCGGGGTTAGTGCCGAAGGATGGAACCGTCGTCATGAAATAAGAGGCCATGTTCCTCCTAGTGCAGTGGTTATTATGAATATCCTTATTATAACTTCTCATTCATAATTCTTTTCCAAATTTCGTCATAAAGATTATTTGGACAAGGACGATTAATACTGTTGTTTGTAGGACAGGAACAACAGAGAGGTGTTGTTGATTAAACGTTAAAGCAGCTTGCCACAGTTGCTTGTTCTAGACAAGCACTGGGAATCGTAGAACATTATTAAATTAACAGGGATTATTCTAATATTCCTGTTAAATTCCTTCAGTCACTAACATAATCTGACTCAGCTGGAGCCTATTTGTCTGCATGATCATTTCAGAAATGCTGACAATTTGGGACTGTTGCAACTTTTTGTCTGTCAGCTCGGGAGATGGAGGAGTCACCATGCTGAATTCATCTTAGCAGCTTTGAGAATCTAAAATCCTCCCTCACAGGAGACTTCAAGCGCTTCCTAGGTGAAAACGAAGCCATCCCAGTGGTTATTGACGCTGGTTCTGCTGTGCAAGTCCAATGATGTCTTTTTCCTGCGTTGTTAAGAGACATCTTTACGGTGGGTTACGCAGCGTTTCACACCGTGGTTTATAGTCAAACCGGTATGTCCCTGCAACTCTACTCATAGGTGGATGGAAAATATCCACTGGTGGCAGACTGTTGCTGCAGAATGCAAAATTCTCATCTCTTATTAGTAACCACTCAATGCAGCTCGACTCATCTCACATGCCAAGCCCATCGGTAATGGGTCTGTGGCTGCCATCCCCTTTCCAGTGCCTGCTTTGTTGTGGTTCCAAGTAAGCCAAGCTGAGGTGGACACAGTTTTCTACCTGCTGCTCGCAGCCTTTTCTGGGTCCCAGACTAAGCAGAATGTTTACCGTCACTACCACGTGCGCGATCACTGTGATGTGTGTTAGGTAAAAAATGGATATTATTATTGAATGATATTAATTTCTTGACTGCTAAAACATCTGGTGCTTCATTAAGAATGATTAAACGCAGGTTCATCCTGTTGCTAGTCTCCATCAGTCTCCACAGGGAGGACTTGACCTTGCCTCAGACCAGCTTGGTCTGATTTATCAGTAACACTCCCATAGGAAACTCTCTGCTGAATGAATGCACCTGGGTTGGTATGAAGGAAATGTGACCTTGAGGTCCCTCCTCATCACTCCAACGGCTGTGAAAATGCTGAGGGGCCACCTGGACTCAACTACCCCAGCGCAAGCTCACCGATGACAACAGATAAGTTAACGAACTGCTTTAAGCTTGCAGGGTCCACCACACAGCTGCTAATGTTGGTGGTCGGTCGCACTCATGGCTCTGCCCTGGAATCGCCCCTCAGCACCTGACGGAACGATTGAGACGGCAGCAGTTGAGGGAGTACTGGAACAGGAACTGAATAGACAGATTGAGATTGAGGCTCCTCCTGAGCCCATCTACATTGTACCGTGCACTGCCTCCACCGAAGGCCCCTGGAACTCAAGCACCAGCACCCAAATCTCCAGACTGGTTTCAATGGCTCCCCAACACTTGGACAACTTCATTGACACGCCCTGCTAACTCTACACCCCCATAAATCAACCAACTTCTCATGGGTCCCTCACTCGATGGAATGGGAACCCCTGACCTGCGATTGGTGTGGCAACTGTAGCTTGGCTCGGCTACAACCCTCCTCATCTCACAGAGGAAGGGGTCTCTGAAGACATCAGAGCTGAAGAAAGAGAGTTTAAGCCTGTTGTGGCTTTCCGCACTCCACACTATGCAAAAGGACTGTTCTACAGCATCTTTCCCCACTTCCAAACCACAAGCCTGATGAAATGCATGAATTAAGTTTGGTGGTCTCTGGGAAACGTCTCCACCATCCTCTCCGAAATGACCTAGTCCCTCCTCTTTTGTGTGTTCATTTCAGGTTTAAGAGTTAAAGTATTTAAAAAATAACCCAACAACGTGCTTTGGTGTCACACACACATCACCTGGCACCCGTGCTTTGTGTCGGGCTGCTGCCCCACTATGACGAGTCATTTCTCAGGTATTACTGAAAAACTACCCAAAACGTGAAGAGCGGTGTCGAGTCGAGCAGAGTCGAGCCGCTCTGAGTTGTGGAAATGCCCCATAAGTTAGTCAGGCCTGCAGCTGCCCAACAACGATGTGAACAAGGAGGTTTTTGTTGCACCCAGCTAGTGGAAAAGCAGGTACATGAATCATGACCCTGGATGCATGAGGTCATTCATAGAGAGGCCCATAGAGTGCTTACCTCTGTCTCTTCTTCTATTTTAGCTCCTTCTGCCTGCAGCAGAGCCAGCAGAGTATCCAGAGAGCGGTTTCCAGACTTGTGCTCTGTTAAATAACAAAAGGGAAATGACAACTGTTAGGATTCTGCTGTCAGACAGACGGGCTGGTAACACAAGCAGCTAGGAGAAAATAACCTGCAGTGGCATGCAACGTCACACCCCACATGAATACTTAAAGATAACACAAACACTTTGTGGTGGAGCAGAACTGGATAACTGATGGTGTACAAAACCATTTGGTTGTTTAAAGACTACGTCTATTTTAGAAAACCTCCATTTCTATTTCTGAGGGGAAAACATCCCTGCAACTCCAAAAAGGATCTGACAAACCGTTTAGCATCTCAAGTGGGGGAGGTAGCACCTTACTGTTTACAGCGGGGGCGGGGAGCCGATGGCGTTAACTGATGAGTGGAAGGAATACTTGGAACGGCTACTCAGTCCCACCAACATGTATTCTAGTGAGGAACTGGAGCTTGAAGACCCAGGGATGAATCAATTTACCTTTGGGGCACGAGACACCAAGGTCAAGCATGTCCACGTTATCAGGACCACTGGGGCAGGCCACATCTGTCCTGGGTTTCTCATGAGTGTTGTGTGGTTAAAGGGCGTATAAAATAGCATTATTATTATTATAATTATTAATCATGTATATTTTCTGCCTTAGACCACTTCCTGAGGAGCGGCAGGCAACTTTTAGCGTCCAACATCTTGCCCAAGGACTCTTCGACAGGTGGCCTGTTGAGGCCTGGGACCAGAATGACTGACAGTTATGTGGACCAATGGTTCAGATGATCCACCCGAAAGAAAAGATCCTCTGCTATAATTTTAATTCTGTCAAAAGCTTGAGCAAAAGCTGCTAAGAAATCTAACAGCGGAGCCAACTAGCCAGTAGGAGCAGTTGTTAGTGAATATGGTGCTCTAACAGCAGCACGAGTGCAAACACAGCAAAAAGAGACTTTTTTCTGCTAAAATCTTAAGAGTTAGGGCGGTGTTTTCATGGGAAAAATACTCATGCACAACGCTTCAGTCCAACAGTGTTGGTATGTGTTCTCTGTGGCCCTGGTACCGCTCTAGTTTCTCGTGTTCCTTTTTCCTGATGTTGGTATTGCCACACCAACCACAGCAGCTGTCCTCTGTTGTTTGTCCACCACCATTTTGTCAGTCCAGATCTGGAAGTCCCACTGGAGCTTGGCTCTCTCGTTCTCTACCACCTTAGGAAGAGTTACCCGCTTTGCCCTTGGGGCTTCCGGTCCATACTCTGTACAGACGTTTCTGTAGACAATACCAGACACTTGGTTGTGGCATTCCATGCAAGCTTCCCCTTCCAGCATCTTACACCCTGCAGTTATGTGGTGGATCGTCTCAGGGGCCTCTGCATAGCCTACATCTCGGGTCTAGTCTGGTGTGGTAGGTCTTGGCCTCGGTTGCTCTGGTGTTCGGGGCCTGTTCCTGTGCAGTCATGATGAGTGCCTCTGTGCTGTCCTTCAGATCAGCTCTTTCTAGCCATTGGTAGGATTTTTAGGCATCAGCCACTGCAGTTATCTGTCGGTGGTACATCCCATGTAGGGTTTTGTCCTCCCATGATAGTGATCCCCTCAGGTTGGTGATGGCGGAAGTGCTCATCAGACAGTGAATAAAAATGTTCCTTAGAACAAAAGTTAAAACAGAAGCAGGATGAAGGCACCATTTATGCTAATAGCAACAATGTGCTAAATCTTCCTTCTGGGTCAAACAGCTATTTTTCTCTCATCTTCATCTCTAGCTGTTCGACAGCAAACCCTCAACTAGGACAGCTAGTGCCTAGAAAGTGGGGGGCAGGGAGACACTGGGCAGCCTACATTTGATGAAAGCAGTCACTTAATGCCATCAAAGGAAACCATACCCCAGTGTAGAGAAGAAGGGATGTTTTAAAGGGCCTGTGACTGTGTGGCACTGGGCTGTTAAACAGGATCTACAGTACTGTTGCTGCTGCAGTGTTCACTGGAACATCGGGGAACCAGTCAAACCGGTCTCAGAGTGGAGTCATGTGGAACAAACGACGACAGGAAAAAGAGAACTGGCTTCCCTCTAATGAAGGAGAAATCACCTGAGAATAACGTCATGTCTAGTCAAAGGTCTCAAACCCAACAGGAACAAGATTAGATCCCACAACACGGAAAACGTGTTACCTTTAAGGGAATCAGCAAAAATGTTATTCTCAAATGTTTATAAATCTAAACACAAGCTACTAGAGTATGGCAAGAATGATTTTCATGAATATTTGACTGAAATTGAAATCAGTTATTTAACACGAACGTTAATAACACAAACAGTCCAAATAACAAGAGAGCTATACGGTGCCATATACGGTGTAATATAAAGATAAATACAAACATCTATGTTGTAGTGAACCTTCACAATGTCCTGCCGCATAATTATTATTTAGTGACAGAGGCACTCGCAGGGTGTGTGCTATTTTTACTCCACACAAAAACAGCGTGAGACGATCAGTAAACAGTATAAGGTACCTTGTACGCTCCACAGAAATACAACTCAGCACAACTATGGTGGTGTTGTTGGACTTTCTGCTCAGTTTTATGGTGTTTGTCAGACTCTGAACCAGGAAATGGCAGCAGGCAGTGAAGTGGTAGGGAGAAAGCAACCAGTGACTCCGACCCCAAGCTAATCAGCGGCCAGAGTTGCGACGCTGGCCCGACTCAGCCTTGCCAGGTACCTCAACATAGCAGGGACTAAAAATTGGGGAGAAAGTAGAGAAAATACGGAACCGTGCTTTTGGAAACTGGTCGGGCCGAGCTGCATCGGTCAGAGTTACTCCGAGCCGTGCTCTTCAAAAGCTGGCGTTAGGCTGCAGTGAGAATGGCAATGAAAGTCAAAAACAGTCATAACTGGACATTAATTCAAGCTTTCCTCCATCTCTGTTTTGTATCAGTCCTCTATGACTTCATGGACAGCTGTGTTCAAATTTCTTAGTAACTAGGAACATAAAAACACAGACATTGAAACGTGACTAATTGAAAAAAGCTCCTGTGGGCACAAAGCTGGTGTACCTATAGAAGACTTGCGAAGCTGATAGGACTCAAAGTTCTCCTGAAGACATCCGTAGCGCTTGGTGAGCTGCTCTTTCTTCTGCTCTAGCTGGGGCTGAAGGGTGAGGTTTTGCTCGGCCAGTGTTCGGTTGTTGGCCAACGTCATGTCCTTGCTCTGCTGGACCTCCTGCATCTACAGGAGAAAAGGTAGCAACTGGCGTTAATTATGCTGGTTAAAGGCAATCTTATTAGAAAAATAACGCATTTTTTAAAGATAAAAAGGAAGTTGATTCATAAGCCTGGGTAATTATTCTGATAAGCTTACGTTTGCTATGAACCAGTTCCAATAATCTGAACTAACCAAATAAAATATGAAAGTGTTCAATTAAAAAGTTTAGCTCTGTGCTGATAGAATGAGATACGGTTGGGATTAGCTTACCCAGGGCAGACATGTGACCATCGGTCTCGCTCTAGCACAAACTCATCGTGATCAAACTTTGACAGAAACCTGTGTCACACTGTACAATTCAACATTTAACACACAGCTTCCTGACAAGGAAGAATCACACCAGTGAGTCCAAAAATGATAGAAAAGCTGACGATCGCGTTGGCGCTCTTATTATGGGATGTGCGCTCTGTCCCGCTGCTCTCCTCTGTGAGAGCAGGGGTGGGGGGGATGCACACGTTCCGTTGCGGATTCTCACCAGTATCAGCTGATGGAAGGCTCCAGTTTCGTTGCGCCGTTTGTGTCAGCGGACACGGTAGGTTCGGGGAGGGGGGCGGGGCATGACGCTTAGCCTGGTGGGTGGGCAAGCAAAGCCTGGCGGCCCGCCAGGCTTATAAAGCGCTGGGGAAAACCCTTACATTATATTTATTTACCACTAAACAAAAGAACAACAGAGTAGAGAGAAAACAAAATCTAGTATTCCAAATCACTTTGTCAAGGACGAAAAAGATATTTATGATAATAAAGAAATCACTGATGAGTTTAATGATTTTTTTGTAAATGTAGGTAGGAGTTTGATGGAAAACAAACCAATAATAGAAGATAAATTGACCACAATGATTAGTACTGTCAATAGTATTGTCCTTGACAAAGTAGATAAAGAAGAAATACGAAACATTGTAAAAAAAATGTGGAAACAAACGATCACCCGATTATCAGGACCTGGACATGATAACTGTTAAAACCATCATAGAATCTGTCATTCAAACATTCACTTACATTTGTAATCTATCACTTTCTATAGGAAGTTTTCCTGACACAATGAAAACAATGAAAGTCATTCCTTTGTACAAGAGTGGTGATAAACATAGTTTCAATAATTACAGGCCGGTGTCACTGCTTCCACAGTTTTCTAAAATATTGGAAAAAGTATTTGTATCAAGGTTGGATAAAGTCATCGAAAAAATAATATTTTAAACAATGAACAATATGGGTTTAGAACTAAACATTCCACAGCAATGGCAATAATGGAATTAACGGATAAAATATCAACAGCAATTGACAATAAAAATGACTTTGTTAGTGTTTTCATTGATTTGAAAAAAAGCTTTTGACGTCATTGAGCACTCAAGGTTACTTCGAAAATTAAGTCAGTATGGAATAAGAGGTGTGGCTCATCAATGGGTTAAAATTTATTTAGAAAAAAGGAAACAGTTTGTTCAGATAAAGGACCATAAATCAAAACTATGTGAAATTAATTATGGAGTGCAACAAGGGTCGGTCCTCAGACCAAAACTGTTCATTTTGTTTATTAACGACTTGGTAAATGTATCTAAGACACTCGGTACCATTCTGTTTGCAGATGATACAACACTGTTTTACTCAGGATCAAATATTGAGGAGGTGGCTAAAGTGATAAATGATGAACTGATTAAAATTAAAAACTGGTTTGATATAAATAGATTGACACTGAATCTTAATAAAACAAATTTTATACTGTTTAATGATCAAAATAACAGTGATGTGTCATTGGAAATAGATGGGATTGCAATTCAAAGAGTAAAAGAAACTAAATTTCTTGGAGTTCTTATTGTTGAAGACTTGACATGGAAATCCCATATTAGTTACATAAAAGGTAAAATTGCCAAATCCTTAGGAGTATTACGTAGAGTCAAGTTTTACTGACTAATTCTGGTTTGTTGGCATTGTACAATTCACTGATGGTTCCATACTTGACTTATTGTGTAGAAATCTGGGGAGCAACATACAAAAACTACACACAACCCTTATTTATTTTACAGAAAAGAGCTCTGAGAATCATCAGTTATAGTGGCTGTCGAGATCCATAAAACCCATTGTTTATTAAATATAAATTACTGAAATTTCATGATTTAAAAGACTGGAAAATCTTACAAACCGTGTATAAAGCCAATTTAGGTACTCAGCCAACAAACATTCAGGGGATATTTGAAAAGAGAACTAGTAATTACATGCTGAAAGAAACTGATGCGTTTACAAAACCTAGATTTAGAACTAAAATTATGGAGTGGAATATATCTGTAAATGGTGTTAAATTATGGAATAACCTTAAAAGGGAAATTAAAAACTCTGTCATTTAATATATTCAAAAAATGTACCAAATTGAGTGTACTAAATAATTATGAAAATGTAAATTAAATCAATGATCAGGATCGCACTGGAATTTAGAACAGGACAAAGTTTAAAATGAATCTGTATGTGCGTCTGACAAATGGAAATTGCATATAAACTAATTATTTCTTCTGGAAAAGGGGGCAGAAATTTTGTTTTTCCTCATTCTGCTCCTTTTTGTTCAAATTTGATTTTTTGTTATGTATTTCTTATTGTTTATATGTTTTATTTGTTTTTATTTTGAATGAAATTTAAAAAAAGAGAAAAAAAACCACCTCCCTACAAAACCAATTTAATATGGTCAACAGCATACCCTGTAGACCAGGGGTGTCAAACTCAAACTCAAACGGGGCCGAAATGAAACTCTGGGACGAAGTCGAGGGCCAAACTTAATATTTTTGAAAAAGTGATGCAAATTTGCACATTTTCTTTATCAACATATATGCAATTTTGAACCTTTAAATTTGGGAACAAACTTATTTCTGCATTAACACTGAATATGGAATAACCAAATTACACACGAGCAAGTCAGTTTTAAATAAAAGGCATCAGTGGTATTCATTACTTGTGGTATAATCAGCATTTTATAAATCTATTCAGGATTTATGTTTTCTTGTTTATTCATTTTTCTTATTTTTATTCTCCTTTTTTTCTCCTGTAATAAGTGTCATCGCTGCTGTGACGTCTAGCTTTCCCCACTGAGGAACAAAAAAGGGATTTTCTATTCTATTCATCTATCTGCAGCCTTTCTACTTCCTGTTTACTGTAGGTTAAATCTTTTCTCACAGGCCAACAACAAAATAAAAATATCATTTTATCTTAAATGAAAATGCAACATCTCACCTGTTAACTTTCATGTTTCGGAGCAGAAAAAGAGCATAAAACCAACATATTTAAAGCTCAGTTGGCTCCACTGGTTTACTGTGATGCTCACCTGTTCCAGCCAGATACCTGCATCATGGGGTTGATCTGAGCTGAGGAGGAGACTCCTGTTGTTTTGTTCATCTTCATCATAATAATGACAACATTAGATGACAACAGGTGCTCACATAGGTTTGTGCTGATGAACATGTCTGAGCAGCTTGACCACGTTGTTGTGTGTCGGGGAGGAAACACAACCACAGCAGCCACAGAGCCATGCTGGTTTGAGCGTGTCGCTGCTCGCTGGAGTTATATCAGCTCTGTCTGGAAGTTAGTTGGAAAACTTTCTCTTTCAGTCGTGAACACATTACTGAGCGTTTAAAATCTCTGTTTCTGGGCTTCAACGTCAGAAAATAGCTGAGTGAACTCAGCGCTGAGTGAGAGGAGTGTAGCTTGTCCGAGACAGCGGAGCTGCACACTGGCAGCAGGCGCTGAAAAAGCACAAAGGAGGGGGCACGTCGGCTCTGCGCTGACGCCGCAAAGCATCATGGGAGTTGAAGTTTTTGCGGTAAAATGGGCCAGCGGGCCAGTTTTAATATATTTTTGATATTTACCTCGCGGGCCACATAAAAATGCTCCGCGGGCCGCATCTGGCCCGCGGGCCTTGACTCTGACATATGTGCTGTAGAATAATGATGAGGAATTATTTTAATAAAAATTTAACTGAAATGGTCAGAATAGGTATTAAAGCAGCAGCAAAGTCAGAATAATACAGGAAAAAATTCTCACGCTGTTCATCACATGACTCATTTACATCCACTCAAATATGACCACCACTGGAGATGTCTGAAAACCAGGATGGAAAAGTCTTCTGCAGTACAGGTAAAGGCATAGAAATTGTTAAAAAAAAAACACACACACACATCATGCAGGAAGAACTTCCTATTTTTTCGACTCCACTCTGAGGTAAACGTCATGAAGCTAAATGTCTTTCACAACATATTCACAGAAGAGAAATCTATATGTAGCATATCACATTTCCCTTGTCAAGGTGAATCTCAGCCTGGCAAGCCATCCTGAAAATGTTAATATGTAGTCTGGCCATGACCCATAAGCTCTTTTAGAAGACAACAGGCCAGCTAATCAGCGTAACTCTGCCGCCACCGCAGGCAGCATGGTGTTGCGGGCATTTTGCACCATTCGTTCCATCAAGCTTGGTAGTAATATTGCCGGACTTGTGAATGCAAGGTTTCCCCCAGCGCTTTAAAAGCCTGGTGGCCCGCTAGGGATGGGTACCTTTGACATTTGAATCGATTCGGTACTAATTACCGGTACCTAGGAATCGATACCGGTACTTAACGGTACCAATTTTCGATACTTTTGAGCGTTTATTATTTTAATTCTCTTTCATAATTAAATATATATTTTTCTCAATATATAACAATATTTGATAAATATCACGATAAATAACATTCAACTGTTTGTATTTTAACATCGTCCTTGTAGTTTTATAAGCTGATAATTAAACTGAAGCAAACATCTTCACTGTGAACTAAATTTACTGTCTATCTTCATTCCTTTTGCCGTCTTTTTTCATTTGATTTTTCCTACTGGGAAGTTAGAATTTACGAGGAGAAAGCGAACGCACCATTAGCTGATAACAATGGTGGCAATGGAAGCTAACATATCAAGCTAACGTTACCTTAAACAGTTTATTTAGCTGCTGGAGCAGATTAAAACGATGATGCCTCACACTTAGATCGTTGTCGCTGGTTTCATCTTCACCCGTCACATTTAGTAAAGTGAAGCCAAACTTCAGAGCGCGTTCATGTTTTTCTAGTCGGAAATTCGGAGTTCCGAGGAGAAAGCGAACGCACCATTAGCGAAACGGAAGCTAACATATCAAGGTAACGTTATCTTAAACATTTTATTTACCTACCGGAGCAGATTAAGATGAGGATGTCTCACTTAGATCGTTGTCGCTGGTTTCATCATCACTCAGTTACCCATCACATTTAGTGAAGTGGACCCAAGTGTTAGCGTGCGTTCTTTCTACCATGCTGCTCTGTTTACAACTGGCTCGCAGCGACCGACGACATAACACTCTTGCGCATGCGCAGCTGTCTAGGCAAGTTCTCGTTATGAAGGACGTGTACCGAAATGAGGCACCGTTTGAAATGACGTGAATCAGTGCTCGGTCGGTACTATGGAATTCAGTCGGTACCTTAAAAAGTACCGAATTCGGTACCCATCCCTATCAGGCCCGCCAGGCTTTGCTTGCCCACCCGCCAGGCTAAGCATCATGCCCCGATCCTACCGTGTCCGCTGACACAACACGAACGGCGCAACGAAACTAGAGCCCTCCATCAGCTGATACTGGTGAGAAATAGCAGCGGAACATGTGCAACCACCCCACCCCCGCCCTCACAGAGGAGCGCTGCGGGACGGTGGACAAACTGTCCACGTTATCGTGATGGGACTTATGGCTCTTTGGAGGGAACCTGCTCATCACATCACTACCACGTAACAGAAGAGTGAAATTAACTTTGACATCGAAGGTCAAAGATCTGAAGTAGAACTTAGTTTGTACGTCTATCAGGATTGCTTAATAATTAAATGTGTAACCAACCAAAATCTGTTTGTTAGCAATGATAAAGAGAAATCCAAAGAAAGGAAAAGCCCCAAGCTCATCTTTACTAAGTGGAAACCTCACATTTGTTTGTGGAGCTCTGAATGTGAGTGGTTTTAACATTTTCATGGCCAACCTGATTTTTATGTATGACAATTGTTCAGTTTTCTCAGTTTTCTTGTTGTGAAAATCTATTTTACATTTTGTTGTTAATAAATTTGCTCCATTAGGAGCCAAATTAATTCTTCTGTATGCTTTTCCCTCATTTTGAAAGGATTAAATAAGTTGGGTGGATTTTTCCCAAAAACCCTCAAACATCATTTTTTTAGATGGAAGGATTTTCTAATGTAAGTTAAAAATGAGGGGGGGGGGGGGGGGGGAACCTAAGGTAAAAACCAGAGAAACTCCCAGTGGCACTAACTGTGTCAAAAGATGCCCAAAATGGTCCAGGAGAGGTCCGCCTGGATTTCTATCAACTAAAACCTCTAACTTTTCTATACTTCCTATTTTTTTCATGATTTTTGGGTCAGCAAATGTTCAGACGCTATTCTGTGGATTTCTAGATGTTTTAGGCTGCAACTAGGTATTTTAGAAGGAATTTTAACATCATAAAGTGGATTTTTTGTAGGCAGAACAGATTTTTTTCTCATTTCTGCTGTGTTCCAGATCATGTTACTCTCAACCAGTGACATAAGTGATGCTTTTTAGAATTTTAGAGTAAACGTTAGAGTCTTACCTTTATTTTGATACCAAAACAGCTCAAACAAACCTTGTAGTTTATGAGATATACTCTATTCATTTTGGGTACGTCTTTTTCAAGAAAATCTCAAATGGCCTAGGGTTCAAGAGGCAGGGTTTTTCCTATGTTCAAATTTGCGTGACGGCCGCCTCCATGTATTTTTGTGCCGCCCCAGCCTGATTTCACTCTGCCCCCAGCTATATGGATGTTATTTTAACTGCAGTTGCAGCGTTGCACCACTACACGGGTGCTGTATCAGCAGCGGTGCATCACAAAGCACTAAACCGCTGCAGACAAAGATCAAAAATAACTTTTCTCTCTATTTGATAGATATCTATGGTTGGTGCTATTGACGTCCTGATTTCCCCCCAGGCTTTACCATATCAGAGCAGGACTGTACAGTGCGACAAAAAAAAACTGTGTGTGTCTATTTTTAAACGTAGCACGGGTGCAACATGTTTGAATTACTATTTTCCCCAGAACTTTACTGAACAAAAGTAGGTTACGTGTAAGAAAAATGCTTTTTACTGGCGCACAGTGTGGTCATCTGGATGCAGTGGAGGAAAATAAAGGAACCAGCAAAGGCAGAACCGGTCCAAAGTTTGAGATCAAAAGTGCAGCTACATGCAGATTGGCTAATGCTAAAGCTAATGGGTAGCAGTCTCACGATCAAGTGGCGCACAGAAAAATATATGATGATGCTCGTAAAACTAAGAAAGACTAAACTCTACAAGCGGATGAAAAGTCCCCACCATCCTGTTTATTCTGCATCCTGCAGTGCTACGGATCAGAACCGCTGCAGATACTGGAAGTACAGCAAGCTGTTTTAGTATATAATTCTAATTCACAAACGCTTCCATCTTGGAACATAATTTAAGCTGGATTATTGCCAACCCGTAGATTATAGACATGCCACCATTACATTGTTAGCAGCAGAAATTAAATGTTATTACCATTTCCAATACAAATGCATGTTAATGAAATGCATTATGGTTTACTGCATATATTTATGTGTTATTTTGACTAAGATGAGTGCTATTAACACAAACCTAAAATGTTACTGAAATGTAGGTCAAATATTTAAAAACAATTTTAACTATAAATATCAGATGGGGAAAAGGGAACTAAACACCAATCTAATGCATATTATTGAGCCTTTTATAATATTTTGCCTTTAAAAAAGTGAGGCGGTTGGATGCACAGAGTATGTGTGTGCTGGCACACGGTCAGGATGGTACCACCTCTGCCTCAATCTGAGCCGGGAAAAACCCTGAAGAAGTGAACTGGAACTGATGTTACTGAGACATTCAAGAGCATTAAAAATAAAAAAGGACAGGAGGCACCGAATCCAAACAAATTCATGGCATGTCCATTTGCATTATTCAAAATGCTCCAAAAGCTTTTCTAAAAAGGACGATTGTTGCACAAAGGCAAAGCATGTGTGTGAGTTTTACCACTGCTGTACTTTACACTCAGTACTTCCCACCAATCTCAGATTTCTCTACGCCTCCCGACACCAGTGGCCTTTGTTCTCATTCTGTCTGCTGCTAAGAGACCATCCTCTTCACCCACAGCTCCACCTCTACCTCAGACACGTATTTACCTGACTGACTCTCTTCCATTATCTAATAACTGACTTGAGTCAACAACCAGTCCATTGCAGCACTCAATTCGTCCCTCCCTCTTGGCGACTTGTGGGATGAGGAAAACAAAACTATGGAGACAATCACCCAGGGTGTGGATCCAAACCAGCTGAGACTCCAATGGCAGTATGGTGTGGTGTCAGCCTGTAAAGTGTCAGGCACACCTCCACACTGGTCTACAGTCGCCAGTGTAAACGGAGGTCTTTGTCATGTTTTCACCACCAGTCACTGCTCTTACAGAACAGGCAGAAATTAGACTGGCAGTGTGAAAGCCCGCCTGTGTGACAAACAAGACACATTCCTGCTCCCCGGTAGTGTTTGATGAAGCTGACGAGAAACTGGAGTAGGAAATGCATCTCTCCCCCTTAAGACTTTAGACTTAACCAAAACTATGAAAACGAGCTCTGTGGAAAAGCTCAGCCTGAAACGGCTCAGGCTGAACACACACACACACACACACACACACACACACACACACACACACGAGTGTGTGTGAAGGGTTCAGCAGCATGAGGATCTTTACAAAACACCGATCTGTGGTGGCAATCCTTGTTTGTAGTAAAGTCTTTTCCTGGTAAGGGCTGTGAAAGGAAAAGGTGAGGCGCACACAAGGTACACATTAATAAAATAAACATAAGCTGCTGGAGTTGGGCCAGAAAGTCAACGAACGGCTCGAGTAGAGACTCGACTCCGAGTTAAAAATATTTTAACTTTCTTTGACGTGCAAGTCGTGTTGTTTAGTTTCTGTCTATGAAGCTAAATCTCTCGACTGTGACGTGCTGAGCCTGTGGTGTAGTTCAGGGTTAGTTTACCTCGGTGTGAGCTGGACTCGAACCCCTGCCTTGTGGATCCGTCATGACAGTGACGAAGGTCACCTGTGCATCCCTGCGATGGTTTTAATGGTTTGACGCGAGTATGACTAGGATTAGCGCCCCGTGTCCGCACACACGACACCCTGGACGGGTTTCTGTTGACCAGGGAGAAGGAAAACAACGTCCTGCTTGCTCCTGCCCAGTTCCTATGGTAACGGTGTAACTCGTGTTAAAAGCCACAAACATGACTGGATGTTGGCGTGACTTCAGGCTAATTCCGTGGCTGCCGGAGCGTGTTTCGGAAAAACACAACAAAGGCTTCAGACGGAAAAACAGTGACCGACAAAAAGGAGAGGACGGATTACAAGGAGCCGTTAAACATACCTCATCCACCTCCTGGACCATTCTGGCGAGTTTTTCGTCGTCCTCTAAGAATTCGTTGAGCTGAATCATCGTGTACCCACTGAACTTGTCTGAAAAATTCGACATTTTAGCTCTTGTTGTGTGCTTCTCTGCTCGCCTTTCGGAGTGTGACAGCTGACTGCGCTTCCTGTACAGGAAGTAGAAAGGATCCAGGCCCAGTGGTGAGTTCACGGACTGTCAGAAAAATGGGAATGGGCAGTATTGTGAAGTTCTGGGTGATGACCATCGACATAAATATACGACGTACTGACTCAAAGTATTATTTAGAATGCACGTTCTAACATTAACCCATGTCCTGTCATTTAAATCAATAGCTCAAGGTTTTTTAACGTAGCGTTTTTAAGCTTTTCAGAACTGTCGAGTTAAATGTGGATCTTCGGACTATGTTAAACCGTGTTTCCTTGTGGCTGATCGGGGACATTTTACCATCTGCAGCAGGTTTGGGAAAATGTGGGACAATTAAGGCTCGCACTTGCACCCTTCATTTGCACGTTTTATTTTATTTTTTAATGCTTTATTTTTTATTTACATTTTTACGTACATTTCGGTTTGCAAAATACTATGGGGCGCCAAGTGTGAATCACTGGTGCAAATTATTTAGCAGATTTTTTTTATATATTTAGCTCAGTTTTCCTACATTTAGCAACTTTTATCACATTTATATATGTGTTTAAATATCGCTTAATTTCAGCTAATCTAAATTTTAAATCTGAACTTAAATGTCAAATCTAAATCAGAAATCAGGGCTGGACTGGGACAAAAATTCAGCCCGGGCATTTTGACTGGAGACCGGCCCATCACCTGTTTTTTTTTTTTTGTGGAAAAGACATTAAGCCTTATGCTGTTTTTGACACACACCAACGTACACTTTCTTGTTGGTAATATTTATGTATCAATCTAATAAACGTAAACCTACACCATCCTTCCTATCCTGGTATTCTAAAAAGTACTTAGTAAAAAGGGAAAAAGACCACTTGATTAAGGTAACACCCCAAACAATCTCTAACACTTGGTAGAAACCTGACATCAAAACACAGAGAACTATTAATCAATAATGAATATTAATATAAAAAAGACATTTATGGAAATTTTCATGAACTGTTTTATCACCACACCAATATTTTTCCAATACATTTAACAAAGAAAGGAGACAGAGAAAGGTGAGATAAAATAACTTAATTGACCATTTGAGGTCTTTTTAGAGATCGTACTGGTGCAGTATCTAGAAAATGTGGGGAAAATGCTGACATCATATACAGTATTTACTTCTGTAACTATTTGTTAATATGTTGTTAATACGAGTTGCAGTATTTATATCCTGTTAGGGTGTGTAATTGTTGGACAGAATCTTAATCTCGGTGGGTTTACCGTGGCTGCGGTGAAGGCGCGGTGACCCTTACCAGCCACTGTATCATCTGCTGAAGTTGCCGGCGGCACATGCGCGCTTTGTTGTTTACAACCAAAACTTTCTTGAAGCTAAAGCTGAAATAATGGCCAAAGTAGGAGACGGCAGCGCTCAGGACATTTATTATCCCTCAAAGAAGACAAAGTCGGAAGTACGGGCATCTTTTGGATATTTGAAGAATGCAGAGGGACAGTTGATAGAAGACGGCTATCCTGTTTGCAGCACGTGCAGAAAAAGTGTCTGTGAAAGGCAGCAACGCTTCAAATCTCATGACACATCTGCGTGACAATCACCCACAACTCTACAGTCAACACAAGGCTAGTTAACGTTAGCGTTTTAGCTAAAATGCGTGATCCGAGGATTTGGGTTGAGGGAGAATGCAACGAGTCGCTATATAAAGCAGCCGCAGCGCCGCTACCTGCATATAAACCGTGTCACGGACACCCCCATGTTGAAATGACGCTATGCATTACGGGGCTTCCAGGGGCAGATGAGAGTTGATCTCTCTCCGAGAATAATTATGAATTTAACAATGATTACTGCCTGATGACATTTTCCCAAATCTGCAAAGCTCACTGGAAGGACACAAACCGAGGACAATATTTTCCTGATATAGGCTTTATTACTCAAGTAAGGGTAAAAAAGTATCTGATTAGAAGGCTACTTGAGTACTGAGTATCATCTGGTCTAATATTTTTAAATGATGACATCAAACAGACAAAAAATAAGAAGTTATGGGCAAATATTGGTATTTTAAAGACTAAAGAGGAAAGATGTAAACAAATAAACAACATAATTACAAAATAACACATTTTAGGCAAAATTTAGATACAAACTGAGGACAATATTTCCTGGCATACAGGGTTTATTTAATTGTGTGAAAATGTAGCACGTTAAAAAAAATACCGCGATAATACCGAAAACCGTGGTAATTTTGGTCACAATAACCGTGAGATTAAATTTTCACACCGTGACAACCCTATTTCCATCCAGAGCTCCACAAGCCGGCAGCCCGTGCAGCAGACAGAAGCCGTGATCAGATAGATGCGCCAAGCTGCGGGGGAGGGGAGAACAGGTGGAAAACAGAGGTCTCCCGAGATCTCCAGAAGCCGATAGTCGGAACCCAGCTCCACCAATGTCATGAACTCCTCCTCTTAACCTCCTCTGCGGGCCGGGCTGGCGCTGCACTCCAGTTCCCAGCATGCCTGTCACCGACGCTTCCCGGTGACGTCATCCCGCTGAGCCTATTTAAGGACCTGTCACAGCGGAGCCGGCACTCAGTCATCATCTAACGATAGACGCCAAGCCATTCTAAGACCTAAGACACTAACTCTACGAACCATACGGGAAGAGAACTTCCCACGCTGCCACATATCAGTCTCCATCCACCATTCTCTCCGCGCCTGGGTCTCATAACCACTCCAGCTCAGCCCACCGAACCTGACAGGATGACTGAGTCCCGAGTAGACCCAGCGGAGATCGCACAGCTGCGAGCTGAGGTAGCGCAGCTGCTCAGCCGAGTAGAACACCAGGAGGCGGACAACGCCCAACTCCGTGTGGAGAACAATCAGCTGCGTGCTGTTACTGATCGCCTCGCATCCAAACTCGATTCCGTCACCGAACTGGTAGTCCAACTCTCCTCTGCCACTCCTAACGTGGTGGAGCCGTATCTAAGTCTCCCAGAGAAATGGGATGGGATTAAAGGATCCCCGGAGTGTCATGGCTTGTGGAAGGCGTTTAACCCAAGACATGCAGAATCAGCACAGGAGTCAGGAGGTAAGAAATTAAAGTCTTTATTTTTACAAACGGGAACTTAGGTAGCACTGAAATCCAGTGAATGATGCCAAGGGCGATTGTTCAGAGTTCTTAGCTCAGCGAGCTGCGGGGCAAGCGGGCCAAGGAGACGAGTGTAGTGATCCAGCAGGATGGGAGGTGAGGAAGCAGAGAGGAAAACTGCAGGAGCGGTGGAGGAGGATGAGACGTGAATGAGAATCCGTGGTTCTTAGCTGAATCTGGTGAAGGTTGGGGTGATAATCCTAGGAGGAGGGCAAACCAACGAAGCTTCAGGAGCAATTTCAAAGCCGTAATCAAATAAACAGTCCAAGGTCAAAAATCCAAGTAATCCAAACATGCGAGGGTCAAACAAGTACGAGTGGCAGGCGTTACCAATACTGGAGCAATCATCCGGCTTCGAGTAGTGTCCCCATCCTCCTCTTAAACCCGAGCTCCAAATGATTTAACGCGGCACAGCTGGTACCTCTCTGCTCCTCACCTGTGGAACACAGAACCCCAAAGATTGTTAATTAAGCAGGAGGACTCACCTAGACCCGAGAACGATGACATTACCCCCCCCCCCCCCAACGGGCGCCCCCTGGCGCCCCAGCAGTGGTCCTTGAGGCCTCGAAGTCAGAGATGAGGGAGGGGTCCTCGATGAACGCCCGGGGGACCCATGAACGCTCCTCCGGGCCATACCCCTCCCAGTCCACCAGGTATTGTACTCCCCGACCCCGAGGACGAGAGTCAAGTATCCGCCGAACCTGGTAGACCAGACCACCCTTGTAGTACCGAGCAGGCGGAGGCGGGTCCGGGGACGGACAGAGAGGGCTGGTGGCCACTGGTTTGATCAAGGACACGTGGAAAACAGGATGAATCCGGAGAGATCGCGGAAGATCCAGACGAACGGTCACAGGGCTGGGAACCGCCACAACCTTAAAAGGACCTAGGAACCTGGGAGCAAATTTCCTGGATGCGGCCTTAAGAGGTACATCCCTGGAGGACAGCCAGACCATCTGTCCAGGAGCGTAGGCTGGTGCCGGGCGGCGATGACGATCCGCCAACTGCCGGTTCCGTTCAGCCGTGCGTAGAAGTGCGGCTCTGGTAGCCGTCCAAGCTCGACGTGCCCGGCGGAGAAACTGAGGAGTAGTGACGGTGGAGTCTGACTGGAGGGGAAACAGAGAGGGTTGGTAGCCAAGAGAAGCTTCGAAGGGAGACTGACCTGTGGCTGTTGACACATGGCTGTTGTGGGCATACTCCATCCAGGCCAGGTGGTCGCTCCAAGAGGTGGGGTTGGTAGCACATACACAATGCAGCATAGCTCCCAGCTCCTGATTCATGCGCTCGCACTGTCCGTTGGTCTGCGGGTGAAATCCGGAGGTTAATGCTACACGGGCACCCAAGGCGTTGGCAAATTCCTTCCAGACTCTGGAAACGAACTGGGGGCCCCGGTCAGACAGGATCTCCTCAGGAATCCCATGTAGACGAAACACGTGTTTGATCAGGAGCTGGGCAGTGGTGGCTGAAGATGGAAGAGATTTCAGAGGTACCAGGTGGCAAGCCTTGGAGAACCTGTCTACGATAGTCAATATGGTATTGAAACCACGAGAGGCGGGCAAACCACACACAAAATCCAAGGAGATGTGCGACCACGGACGAGACGGAACAGGAAGAGGACAGAGTAGACCAGCAGGTGAGCGGTTGGTACCTTTATGTTGGGCACACACATGGCACGCCAAGACGTATTCCTTTACGTCCTTGTAAATAGACGGCCAC